CATGACCAGTATGCAAATTGACTATCACCCCAACACAAAAATAAGAGGGATGTGCTAATTAGCCCTGATATGCTAATTATTCATGACCATAAAAATTGACCATCACTCCAACACACAAGATGGCCTCCCCTATGTGGTCAAAGATGGTTGCCTCCATGTGGCCACAAGATGGCCTGCAGGGGAGGGCAGTTAGGGGTGACCAGGCCTGCAGGGGAGGGCAGTTGGAGGCGCCTGGGCCGGCAGGGGAGGGCAGTTGGGGGCAACTGGGCCTGCAGGGAAACAGTTAGGTGTCAATCAGGCTGGCAGGGGAGTGGTTAAGGGGTGATCAGTCTGGCAGGCAGAAGCAGTTAGGGGCAATCAGGCAGGCAGGCAGGTGAGCGGTTGGGAGCCAGCACTTCTGGATTGTGAGAGGGATGTCTGACTGCCTGTTTAGGCCAACAATATATTTGATTATATATAATACATATATATATACACACACACACAAAGAATGTATACTAGTGCATATATATATATATATATATATACACATTTATATATATATATATATCGGTATATTTGTGTGTATATCTTTATATATGTGTATGTATCATAAATATATATGCCAGTATCACAGTGCCTGGCATAGAAACTTTTGACAATTTTTAGCAGTAGTGGTCATAATTATAGTTATATGATTATGTAATTAATATAATTATTTAGTGATAGCTTTATGAACTAGAATGAGAGATAAAAATTTTACAGATTTAAGCACCAGATATTTTAGCCAGGCTATAAAGGATTGGTACAAGCAAAACCACAGGAACCTGTTTGGAGAGTAAGCAGAAGAAAAGGGTTATTAAGAAAAGCCATAAAATTCTATAAATAATAAAAATATAAGACTGAAGAGCTAAGTCAAAGAGATATTCAAATGTTAGGCTAGATACATTAGACTCCATATCTCTAGTTTCTGTAATTTTTCTTACTAGTCAAAACTTAGGCATGCCCCTGAAAAAGGTAAAGGGGAATAAGAGGTATAAACTTCCAGTTATAAAAATAGTAAGTCACAGGGATGTAACATACAGACAGAGAATACAGTCAATATCGCAATAAGTATGGAGAAACATGGTAGCTAGACTTATCATGATGATCACATCTAAGGTATATGAATGTTGAATCAATGCTGTACATCTGAAATGAATATAATATTGCATATCAATTACACTTTAATAAAAATACAAGTTGGGCACAGGATGTGAAAATCAACAGGTGCCCAACAAACATCCCCATTCCAGCAAGTTTTATCAGCATCCATTAGAACAGTTCTCTTAAGTTTTGTCATCATTCTTTATTCAGGTGAATAATTTGTCCTTGAAACAGAGAGGAGTGGGTCATAATATGTTTGCCTGAGCTCCTGATGATATGCACACATAGATATGTACACAGAGAAGTGAAGAAAGAGGGAGGATTTATGAAAAGCTAGGTCATGTAAACACATTAAATGTGACTAAGAGTCTAGCACATGAGCAGAGTTGTTTCAACCAATACCCATTCCATCTCATAAGGCAGACAGTAATTATTCTGTCAAGACATTGAGCTTATGAAGCCTAAATGGACTGCCCATTATACCAACCCATGGAAGGAAGAAGATTGTTACAGCTAGCAATTATTCTTCCGGGTGAAATGGAGGATAATATTTTGGCACAATATGTATTTACTTTTCTAAGTTTATTCTCACACCAAGTGAATATATTATGACGTGCATTTTTGTAGATATGACAGTGTAACGTGATGGTAAGTGTACAGAATTGAGGTTATATAGGACACAGATTCAAGAATAGAACTTGGTAATAAATTAAGTGTGGAAGATGGTGCAATGTAAGGCCAAGGGAAGCATCAAGGAGAACACTTGGGTTTTGGCTTGACAACCAGTTGGAAGAAAGAGAAGCAATGGGGCAACTAAAAATAATTTTTTGTTGTGGACGATCAAAATAGCAGTATAGGAAATATTAACTTTTAAGTGACTATAGGATGTCCACATTGTTAAGAAGGCACTTAATATCTAGTCTGGAAATCAGAGGAGATGTAGGAAAAAGATACATATTTTGGAGATATATATATATATATATGTGTGTGTGTGTGTGTATATATATATATATATATATATATATATATATATATATATAACTTATGATGTGAATGAATGAGCTCATCTAAGGAAAATGAAAAGTGAGGCATAAATAGGGCCTAGGGCCAATATTTGAGAAACTCCAAGTCTTTACACATTAGAGTGAGAAGATTGGATAAAGAGGATGGAGAGGAAACCAGGATGGAGAAGATATGAGGAAATGTAGGGTACTGTGTAGTCATGAAACCCAAGGAAAAAGAAAATATTGAGTGTGATCAAGTGTGAATAGTTAGAGGCCACATGCTCTGAAAGAATCTGCAAGGAATGAATCAACCTGGTCACTAGCAGAAGTAAAGGAGGAAACTAGAATGTGAAGATTGAAGCATAAATGGAAGATGGGAGAACTAGTCATATGCACAAAGAGTTTCAACAGTGTGTCATCCTATATAATAAAGAGGTAATATGCAAATTGACCCTCACACCCTCGTGTCACAAGATGGCCATCAGGGGAGGGCAGTTGGGGGGGGACCAGGCCTGCAGGGGAGGGCAGTTGGGGGGGGACCAGGCCTGCAGGGGAGGGCAGTTGGGGGCAATCGGGCCAGCAGGGAGCAGTTAGGGGGTGATCAGGCTGGCAGGCAGAAGCAGCTAGAGGCAAGCAGGCAGGCAGGCAGGCAAGTGATTAGGAGCCAGCAGTCCCGGATTGTAAGAGGAATGTCTGACTGCCAGTTTAGGCCCAATCCTGCAGGAATCGGGTTTAAACCAGCAGTCGGACATCCCCCAAGGGGTTCCAGATTGGAGAGGGTGCAGGCTGAGCTGAAGGACACCCCCCGCCCCCCTGTGCACGAATTTCGTGTACCAGGCCTCTAGTATGTTATATCCAAGCATGCTCAAAATGCCACAGAAGCCCAGAATGACCTAAGGAAGATTTCCAGTAAGAAACAACATTCAAACTGAGTCCTAAAGACTTAGGAAGGATTTATTCAGTATAAGTGTAAAGAAGAGAATTCTGGTTAGACGAAACAGCATTATAAATACTGAAAAGGTAACAATAATAAAAATAATATTTCCAAGTGTTTACCATGTGATAGAAACTGTTATAAAAACTTGACAGGTATTAATTCACCGAAGTGCACTATCAACCTCTTCCTTCTACTTTCACCTTCATCTCTTGGTTGGACTATTATAATAGTTTCTCTTGCCTCCTGGTCTATTTTCATAGAACAGATAAAGTGACCGTTTAGAACAAGCGTCATATGTCATTCCTCTGCCGTAACTCTCTAACGGCTTTCTCTTTGGTCAGAAAACAAAGGCCCTTTATTATTTAGGCCCCCACTGCTTCCTTTATCTTACCATCTGTTTCTCTCTATCACATTGCTCCAGACAATCATGCTGAATATTTCTCCATCTCAAGCAAGTTTCTGTCTCTGGGCCTTGGCACTTGCTATTATTTCTCTCTGTCTGGAGTGCTTGTTCTTAGATATTCATATGGTTCAAATGTCTCACTTCTTTCATGTCTCTGTTCAAATGTCACCTAATCAGCCCAGCCAGTGTGGCTCAGTGGTTGAGCGTTGCCCCAAGAACCAAGAGATCATGGTTTGATTCCCAGTCAAGGCACATGCCTGGATTGCGGGCTCCATCCCTAAGAGGAACATGCAGGAGGCAGTTGATCGATGATTCTCTCTCATTATTGATGTTTCTCTCTCTCTCTCCCTTCCTCCCTCTGAAATCAATAAAAACATTTTTTTAAATGTCACTTGATCAGCAAGGCTTTCTCTGGCCAATCTATATAACAACTGTCTCCCAAATCCTCTAGTGTGTTTACCCTCCTGGGTCAGTGACAGGGACTTAATTATTCAATAGCAACAGTCAGAGTGTCAGCATTTGATCTAGTTTCTCAAGCCCCCACTTCCACAGTGTGATGTGAAGAGGGCCCAGTGGTACCTGAACAGAAAGTGCAGTGTGTGACAAGAGTAGGATGCCAAGGTTTTTAAAAATCCCTCATCTTTTTAAAAGTGCCCTATTGCCTACCTAAGCTTTGCCATGGAGGGAAGGAGCAACTTTATTACGCTAAACATAAACAAACCTCCTCGTTATTACAGAGGGGACACTATTACACTCTCCAAGGCCATTTGTTATATAAACACTTTTGAGAAGGTGGGCTGAAGCACAGGCAGCCGGCCAGTACCTCTGTTCACAAGACACACGAAACATGAGTAAGAGTAGAGAATTGTTTCTCAATGACACATGGCAGAAACAATACATCGTTTTGAACGAAAGGTCAACACTTTGAGTTAGGTGCTATTATTATTTCAATTCTCAGATGAATAAATTGAGACACAGCAAAAGTGCACTACATCTCCAATGTCATATAGAGCTAGTACATGTCTCTGGCAAGCATGTGCGCCCACACCTCTCAAGAAACTGAGTCCTGTCTCTAACCTGTCCCCCTGTCATCTACTTTAGGCTTTGTGAATGGGTGACAGAAAAAGAAAGAATAAAAAAGAGAAAAGCAAAAAAGAATGGAGAGGGTTTTTAACATATCCACAGCTGTTCAGATGTCCGGAACTACAGAGTACAAGGGACCTTTGAGTTCACCTAACAGAAGAAAAAACGGGGGCTGAGGAAAGGAAATGCCTTCCCAAATCACAGAGGAGGCGAGGGAGAGAGGCAACTAACTAGCAGAACTCTTTTGCTGACAGAATCTTGGCCTTGCACATTACAGGCCCATGGCATTCCTTTCAGCTTTCGTACACAGGTGACATTACCCCAACCTGGGGGCCAGTCTACACTGTGAAGTCAATCAATAACCAAAGAGTCCTGTGACACAGGGCAGCAGGTGGAGTCCGAGTTGCCACTGCCTATATAACCCTTCCAGTCAAAGGGTTCTGAAGAGAAGCGGTAAGTTCATTGCAGTTTTCAGCTGAGCTCTGGACACAAAACTTCAGCCATGAAGGTAACAGCCATCTTTCTTCTCAGTGCCTTGGCCCTGTTGAGTTTGTCTGGTAGGTGTCATTGCATATTTTTTCTGACTTGAATAAAAGCTTTTGACCTGTTGCTTTACTGGGCACATTACCTTCTGGACTTAGACAGAGTCTAGGCTTGAACAGACTTTTCGGTACCAAAGAGATGAAATAAGTTTACTGGGTGAAAATTATAGAAAGAGGAATTTTAATATAAAATAAGGACAACATTTCTTAAACAATGCTTTTAAAAGGAGACTTAAATGGAACTTCAAAACTTAGTTTTGCATCAGACAATCTGGTTACTGCTAGTTGTAGCTGTTTTGCAGTTAGCTATATGAACTTCACCAATAAACTGAGATATAGATACTTATACTTCCTATATTACTAATAGTGAGATCAAAGTCTAAATAACTGGTTGTGGGAATGTCATTGAGTATTCAGAAGATATTTGCTCCATGCCTGATACACTTCAAGCCGTAAACACATCATTTCTATTTTCAAGGAAATGGGCCAACTTTTCTGAAATACCAAATTAAGATACTTTGGTCATAATCAAATTTTTGCTTAATTTTTCGAGTTTTCAGCAAGCAAGCAGTGATCAGACACTAATGAGAAGTCCTTGAGAGAACATAGGAATAAGAAGGAGTGGGGAGTGAAAGAGACCAGCAGAGAAGTCACTGTCTTCAAAGGAAGCAGAGAATTTTGAATAAAATAGATCTAGCTTCTCCGATTCAGGACCCAACTTCCCATGTCTGACTTGTTTTCTAGGTAACGCTAAAGCTGATGTCCCAGGAACAAAGGTAAAGACCATTTGTAATCTCTTATTTCTCAGGTTAGAACTGTTTGTTCCAATCAAATAATGCTCTAGTGGTCACCTTACAGTTTAGCCTGAAGTCAAGATGAGAAGTATGAATGCTAGCAAGGCTTAACCTACTACATGCAAATGCCAACATTAGTTCCCCCATAGGGGCTCATGTTAAAGGACAAATACACTGATACACAAGCAGTTTCTATGTAGTTACATAGTGCTTTCTGTGAAGGGGGTTTTATATATACAGGGGCTATCTGGTAGGACAAGGTTTTGGAGTGGAAGCCTTATTAACTTCACTCCAAAAGCACCAGATCTCCAAGGTGGAGCTCTAATTAATAATGAACAGAGGAATATAATAAACTAGGTTCTTCCTCTAGAAAAGGTATTCTATATCCAAACATCTAAAAATATTCTGTCTCTATATTTAAAGGAAGAAGTATCCCTCTTCTCATTATATTTATATCTAACAGGGAGACAGATGACAAACCAAAAGTACATAGCAAATATATTATTACATTTTTGATGAGTGTTCTAAAGAAGTTCTGGTACCATTAGGAACCTCGCCTAGTTAGAGTGATCAGGGAAAGTGCCCCTAAGTAAGAGAGATTTATTTTGAGCTATGAAGGATAAATGAGTGTTAGCACAGTGTAACTGGTGAGAAGTGGTAGAGCAAGCATGTCAAACTCTTGGGTAGGAGTGAAGTGGCTAAGAGCTAAAGCTCAGGACCTACATTTACTGGATTTGAACCCTGGATCCAGGAATTAATACCTGTGTGGCCATGGGTGGTTTATCTTTGTGCCTCATTGTCTTCACCAGAAGAAGAGTATAATAAAAAGTTCATAGAATAGATGTGGGTTTTTAAATAGAATAACAAATAAAAAGCACTTCAGACAGTCTCTGGCCTATAGTAGTCATTCAATAATTACTAGTTCTTATTGACATAGAGGAAATAGGCTGTGCAAAGACTCCAAGGGGGAAAGACAGTGACTAAGAGAATGGACTACAGTGTGCAAGGAAGAACATGCCCAAGGTGTGGCTAACCTGAGAAGAGCTAGCAGCTGCAGTAATTATAAACTTGAACATTATCTCACTCACCTGATTAAAATGTCATAAAACCATTATGAGATAATTGCATTCCCATTTTGCAGATAAAGTGACTGAGGTTCAGAGACACCAAGAAATTTACCAATGTTAGACAATTTGTAAATAGCATAGGCATTACTTAAAACCAGGCTTTCTGACTCAAAATCTTTAATTCTTTCTCTTAGTATCACTCTCCCTATACAATCATGCTTCCATCTTTAAGCTAAGCAACTCCAGGGAGGTAAAAAGCACTTTGGAGATTTTGCTATAAACTCAAAGAACGGAAAATGATTCTGCTTAATTCCATTTTAGGCTGTATGTAACAGTAATGTGAATGGATGCCCCAAGAACTATGACCCCATCTGTGGGACTGATGGGCATACTTATTCTAATGAATGCATGTTATGTATGGAAAATAAGTGAGTACAAACTTAAATTTCTTTTAAAATCTATTTTAAGCTGGTTATCTTCAAATTTCATATATCTTATCCTTTGAAGCCCCAATCAATACTATCCACCTTACCATGAGAGAAACAAAACATCTAGTTTTCCAAAAATAATTTTCAATCTTTTTTTCTTATTATTATTATATATCTGGTATGATTATATATATATATATATATATATATAGTATATATATATATATATATTTGAGTGTATGTGTTGACAGAAAATAATATTTATACTGTTGTGCATTGTGCTAGATACTTAATAGTCACACGGACTCTTTGAGGTAAACTAGAGGCCCGGTGCATGGCATTTGTGCACTGGGGGGGGGGGGCCCTCAGCCCAGCCTATGCCCTCTCACAGTCCAGGACCCCTCAGGGGATGCCCACCTGCCAGCTTATGCCTGCTCCCTGTGACAGGCGGACATCCCCCAAGGGGTCCTTAGCACTGCCACAGAGGCAGGAGAGATTCCTGCCACCACCACTGCACTCACCAGCTGTGAGCTTGGCTCCTGCATTGAGAGTCTGCCCCCTGGTGGTCAGTGTGCGTCATAGAGACATTGTTCCACCGTTTAGTCAATTTGCATATTAGCCTTTTATTATATAGGATAATACTAAGCCCATTATACACATGGAGAAATTGAAACTCAGTTTTACTCTACATAACTTGCTTGAGATCACCAGCAGTAAGTGCAGAGCTGGGACCTAATCATTGCTCTTCCCGCCATGCTTCAAAGTCAAGTACCAGACTGAGGATTTGTGAGACACAGAAGAAATTCCAACCTGCTTCGTCTCTCAATTCACTTACACTCAACACTAACAGAGTGCTGAGCACCATGCTTGAGAGCAGAAAATTAGAAACAACGAATTATGCCTGCTAGGGTTTGGAAATATTTGGAGGCTTTCTTTATGCCATAAAGAAGGAGAGAAATAAGAAGGGGGGGGAAATGAACAAAAGAGAGACAGGAATTAATAATGTGGTACAACATAAAATGTATTAAGGATAATGAAATAGAGGAGGAAAGGTGTTTGAATGGTTCATAAATTTAAAAAATCAATTGTGTGATAAAAACTCATGCTTTTACAGCAAAATAGTAGATAGTCTAGATTTCAGAAAAGCTCATATACCCAAAATACCTTTAAATCTAAAATGTCATTCTGGATGATAGTAATGATTATTTACTAAAACCTTAAATATACAAATATTAATTATACAGATTAGGTGACCAGAACATATTTTTGTAATGTTTTTATTTATGGACTTGAGAGCCAGTCTCAATGAAGCTCATTTTGTTAAGTGATTATAATCAGTGATTGGAAACAAAGTCAAGCACTCAGAGAAACAGATTTGCCATAAGTTTTTATCTTACCCAGCTTCTGAACAATTAACATGTGCCAGGCATTGTGCTAGTCTCCTCTGCTTTTCTTGTGCTTACGAATAAGAGAAAATAGGTCATGAGCACAAAGAAGCTTCTTGCAAGTCTTGTGACAAATGTCATCATATGAGCTATGAGCAAACTGCTACAGGAGGGAAGAAAAGACACAGATTTCTTCTTACTGAAAGGGTCAAGAAAGGATCCATGAAAGGAATATTATTTCAACAAGGGCTCTCAATTTTGGCAGCATAACAAAAGTATTTCAGGTTAAATAAAGGTGTAAAATGATCAAAACAACAGATATCCCACAAGTGACCCAGAAGACTCCGTTATCATGAAACTGATTTGGTATTAAAACATTGATTTAGGCTCAAGTGACTACATACATTTCCATTATTCCACTGTATAAGTTCTCTATAAAAACGATGATGAACTTATAACACGCCTGTCAGAGGTGACACGTGAACTCATTTTTTTGGTTGATTTTTCTTTGTTAAATGGCATTTAAATATATAAAATAAATATCAAAAATATAAGTCTTTGTTTTACTATGGTTGCAAATATCAAAAAATTTCTGTATGTGACACGGCACCAGAATTAAGTTAGGGTTTTTCAAAATGCTGACATGCCGAGCTCAAAGGTTCGCCATCACTGTCCTATACCATGAATCCTCTTCTTAGTCTGCTTTAAATCATTTCAGAAAATTCTCAGTGTTTAAGAAGGATTGTGGAAATAGTCCTTAGAGAGACAGATCTAATATCCTAAAGTTTTAAACCCAAGACATTGGGGTCTGGCTTTGTGGTGAATTTATTTCCACTTTAAAGACTTGTAAGAGGCACTGGCCGGTATGTCTCAGTTGGTTGAGCATCATCCTGTGCACTGAAAGGTCATCAGTTCAATTCCCGGTCAGGGCATATACCCAAGTTGTGGGTGCAATCCGTCGTTGGGTGTAATCCCTGGTTACATACAGAAGGCAACCAATCAATGTTTTTCTCTCTCCCCTCCCTTCCTCTCTTTCTAAAATCAATAAAAACATATTGTAAAAAAAGTTTCAAGAGGAACTTTAAACCATTTGTTAATTTTCTCATGACCTATGTTGTTGACATTAAGGTCAAACATCATGTTCCACCCAAGGGGAGGAGAAAGCAATAGAACAGCCTTGAGACTTGGGAAATTTCCAAGTGGCAAATCCGAAAGGCCCAATATTTAGAGTGAAACATATTGGGAAAACATGAGCACAGGGCTGCAACACTCACCCTTTTCCCTTAGTCTTTAAAACTCACCAGCCCTGCTTACTGTTTCTATTATTTTAAAAATATGTAAATATGGGAAGAACATTTAACTGCCAGAAAATATAACTTCTCTGCCTGTATTTTTAATTCTACAGAGAAAATGTAGCTTTCTTAAATGCAACATCTGTTCAAATGTACCGTATTGCCTTTGTGTTGTCCATTAAAAGCACCAGACAAATGTATACTTAAAAATTTAACCCCTAGTTGTTGGGTTTTGTGACGGGGAGACAAACAAGGGTTTTTATCTCCTTGATCATTATGCTCCTGGAAGATATAGTCAGTAAGGTCCTTTTCCTATTTCTTCTATGTCTTCTTCAGGGCTCTGTACTGCCACATTCTTTTTAGCACTCTCCAGCAGAGCTTTCTGCGATGACAGGAATGCTCCACATCTGTGCTATCCAATATGGAAGCCCCTGCCACTAGCACTTAAAATGTGGCTAATACAACCAAAAAACTGAAGTTTAATATCAGTTAGTTTTAACTGATTTAAATTTAAATAGCTACATGTGGATAGTGTCTAGTGTGCTGGACAGCACAGCTAGAGAAAAGTGAACTTGGGTGCTCTGTTTAGATGCTTGTGCTTGTATATGCTACAAGTATTATGAGTGGTTAATAATTATGGAACAAGAAAGCATCAAAAAACTCTTAAAATGAAGAATCAGCAGGTTTCAGATAAATATATGTGTAAAGATATATGAGTTAGATGTCCTCAAGTAATAGAGAAATAGAAGAATCTCACAAAGAACATTAAAATATTTCTAAATATTTGGCTCAGGGAAGAGGAAACCAGTTTGAGAAAGGTGGTGTGGGGCTGGGGGAAGCAGAAAAGTCTTTATCTGGAAGGGAGGATGCTTAGAGCTGGCAGCTATCATATGGGACAGAGAGATGACTTCCTTTTGTGAGTTCTCACAAATATGAATGCCAGCATTCTAAGGGAAAAGATCAATCAGTTAGAAGGTCCTGCAGAGCCCACTTTCCCAACCAGGAAACATGGTGGTCAGGACAATGACATCAGGAGCAAAAGAAGCAACAAGGGATTCTAGATTAATTTCAGAGGTTCACTGTAATTCCCCCCACCAGAACTATAAGGACAGACATTATTTTTCTTCTGCTATAATCTTAGTGTATGTAATAGTTCTCAATCAATATTTGATGAGTTAATGAATAAGTCAATGAAAGAGAGAGAAATGAGGATAAATCTCAAACCAATCCAGGTAGCTCAGCTGATTAGGGCCTCATCCTGATACACCAAGATTGTGGGTTCTATTTCCAATCAGGGCACATACAAGAAGTAACCAATGAATGCATAAATCAATGGAACAACAAAGTTGATCTCTCTCTCTGTCTCTTTCTCTCTCTCTCTAAAATCAATACTTTTTAAAAAAAAAAAACTCTATGTTAAATAAAGCTAAACTTTTTTTCACTGTTTTTTTTTTTTTTTTCCCATCGTCACTTTGTCAGCAGAGGTTAAACTAATTTTTTTTCCAATCTTTTCTACAGGGCGCGGGAGGTTCCTGTCCTCATTAAAAAACATGGGCCTTGCTGAGAACCAAGGTTCTGAAATCCTGTAAGGTCACCATGATATCCACTGCCTGATTGTTGAATAAAATGCATCTACATACTTCCTGTGGTTCCCATGTGCTTTATTCCCAAAGGCATGTTTGATTATAGTGGGGACAAAGAACCAAGTTTATAAAATCCAGCAACCCAGTCATTTCAGACAGGGTTTCCCTCATGGTACTTTTTGCTTCCCCATCTTCCTCACATTCTGAGGACTCTGTCTTAGGAAATATGACTGCAGATATTTAAGTGACAGGACATAGTTGATCATCAATACACTTAGGACTAGATAGCATTTTCAGAAACAGGTGGAAAACTAGTCCAGAAACATGTTACCCATCACCTATCACCTTCACTAATGAAATAGTTCCTTTAGGTTTTCCTTGGGATTTAACTGAGCATCTATTGTACCTGGCAGTGTTCTAAGTACACATGTGTAAGAATTAAAAGAGCTGTCTATCTGGTAGAAAACAATTTAGTCTTAAGATTTTCCCTGTATCTTAGAGTATAGATTTCAGGTGAGACACAATTTTCTCAAAGAGGCTCTGAATTACTGAGGAAATCAAAAAGGCTACATTTTCTCAACTATGCTGTGGAACAGCCTCTGCATTCAGCTTTAATTCTTACTCAGCAGAGGTAACACCCCATTAGTGACTAAGACTTTCCATGGTACCTGAGATTTGGAGGGAGGGGCAAAGCAAAAACAAATCAAGCATTAGGGTAGGATGCTCAGATCACACCCAGATTGAGACCATTTTTAGTATTCCCTTCCCTCCATCCCAACAAAGCTCTTCAATCTTCCCTATGAAGTCCCAGGTTAACCCAGGCACTCACCCGACCCAGCCTCTAAGTCTTGTAATTACCTATTTATACTGCTGTGTTCTCAGTATTTCTGGCTGCATGTATCTGTTGCCTCAGGCAGACCAGGTTTAAGACATGCCCATCTGTCTCCCCAGATCAACTTCATTTAAATGAGCATGTCCTCCTGGCTGCAAACAAGAGAGTTTTTTAAAATTGATGTTTCAGGAAAACTAGGACAGAGTCATTTCTAAGACAGAGCACTGCATTCATTTACTCGAAGCCACTGGGAAAGAATGATTGATGAGCCCAGGTTTGCTTCTCACCATATGTAACCAAAGGAGTCTGCATTAGTGTTGCTACATTTCTCAGCGTGCAGTCGATGGAAAGTACATTTCATTGGAACGAGAAAGAGCTATTTAAGTGACCTCCAATATTTTAGTATTAATAGTAGGCCACGAATCGATCAGGTCTTCTATATAAACCTGGAATTTTTTAAGTTATTAAGTAAATACAAAATTAGTAACTTTCACCACTTAAACTAGGGATGATGCATGCATTAAAGGCTATGAGAAATTTTGTAATCAAAAATACTGGTTCTCAGGCTTAAAAAACTACTTAAGTATGAATGGGAGAGCCTGACTAAAAGGCTTCTTCCTAGAGATCTAACATTTTCTGTATGATCATCTGCATCCTGTGGTAAACCTGCCCATATGTTTAACTTGTTCTTGCCACATTTGCTTACCTTGACTTTCTGATTAGTCTTATTCTCACTGCCCTTTTCACCTGAGGCTTCCTACTGAAAGGCTTAATTGCAGGGAACTCTCTCCCATTTCAGAGAACATATTCCTAATGCTCTTTACTGCACCATCCATGAGGTATTTCCTTTTAGTAAGAGCTGGTAGGAAATCACACCAGTGCCAATGCAGTGAGAATTGTGAGGCAGGAGGATGCGAAAGGCAGAGTTTGGCTGTTTAATAACTCCATTATGTAAGTAGACACTATAAGGCATTTGAACTGTACTCCCTTTAAGAATAATAACATCATAAAATTGTCAACAATGAGAATTATTACTGAACCAGGTACAGGCTATGATCATCCCCCAGCCTTCAAAAACTCAACTGAGCACTCCTATCACAAGAGAACCGTGGAGCAGGTCCTCGGGAGACAAAGGGAGGAGACAGACATTACATTTCATTTCCTACTTCTTCTAGCTCAGCGGTGGGCAAACTTTTTGACTCGAGGGCCACAATGGGTTCTTAAACTGGACCGGAGGGCCGGAACAAAAGCATGGATGGAGTGTTTGTGTGAACTAATATAAATTCAAAGTAAACATCATTACATAAAAGGGTACGGCCTTTTTTTTTTTTTTTTTAGTTTTATTCATTTCAAACGGGCCGGATCCAGCCCGCAGGCCGTAGTTTGCCCACGGCTATTCTAGCTCCTGCTTTATTCATTTGGGCAAAGAAGGGGCAAAGTGTCTGAAATAAAACCCACAGTTCTTTTATACTTCTCTATTACTCCATCCATGCTGAGACTGAGTCATGGGAGCATGCACTGGAGGTGCCCAGAAAACTGCATTCCTCCTGACTCCATTTAAGTTGATGTGTTGCCCATGGTTGGTTATGGCCTACTGGTACTGTCCAGTAGTTAAGGCTCTTAGGAGAGACAGTAGCGCAGAGACCCCAGAGAGCTCACATAATCTAATAAACAAACAAACAAAACATCTCAGCCCTGAAGGTCAAATTCAGAGAGATCTGGTTATGCTGTTGGGAGAGAGAGACATTCATCATGGGGGTATTTTACATTCAATAAAGTCTGAAGGAGCGAGTTAGATAATCTCTACATGTTCTTCCCTGGAGAAGGAGCACGTAATAGTTGCTTCTCAAATACAGATCCCAATATTGGTGTTGTAAAAAACTTGCTGAGGATTTTATAGGAACTTCTAGCCCCAAAGTATAAAGCATATGACTTACTTCCCACATGATAAAAATGTCCCCTTGAAGAAAATGACACTAAGAACTCTGAGTGGGCAGAGGTCAGAGTCCTGTGCAGCATGAAGCTCCCTCTCCCAGGCTCAGTCTCTGATACTGAAGTAGAACTCATGAGGGCATATCCTAGAAAACTCTTGATGGGTTAAGATACAAGAAAGCATTGTGTCTCAGCATCAAATCCACCCTCTATCTTGGAGTTGGTAATAGGGCTGAAACTATGCAAACCCCATTGCTGCTTGACCAGTCAGCCAACCAATGAGGCAGGGGACAGGGAGAGAACGCTAGAGGGAGACTAGAAGATTGTAGGAGGGAGAAGGGGGTTTTTTCTTTCCCATTTGTATCCTATGGGCTTGAGGGTTCTGTGAACATCACTCCAGCAACACTAGGAGTGGGTGGGAGATGGGGGTGGCTGAGAAAGAATCAGTGGAAAGGAAAAGGAGAAAACCTACAGAAAAATGTTACAGACGTTATGTTCTTTCCCCTAAATACTTGTGTGTATTTCCTAAAAGCAAGGACTATTTTTTTCATGAATTGAATTATCAAAATCAGGAAACTATACTGATATAATTCTCTGTACTCAATCTACCTTATTCAAGTATTGCCAATTATGCCATGAATGTCCTTTATGGAAAGTTGTTTTGTATTGGTTCCCCCGGATTCAATCCAAGACCCCATAGCATTTAATTATCATCTCTAATCTTCTTCAATCTGGAAGATTTTCTCAGTCCTACTTTGCCTCTTATGACTTTGACAGTTTTGAAGGGTGCAGGCTATTTTGTACAGTATCCTTCAACTTGGGTGTGTCTGCTGTTTCCTCGTGAATTAGAATCAGTAAAGCATTTTAGCGGAAATGCCGCAGAAGTGATGTTCTTTTCAGTATATCATGTTAAGAGACACGTGATTTCTTTCTTCTATTCTTGGTGCTAACTTTAATCAGTCGATTAAGATTATCAACCAGCTTTCTTCACTGTAAAGTTGCTGTTTTCCTTAGTAATTATTAGAAACTTTGTGGGGAAATAGGTTGAAAATCTAGATAGCCTTTCCTCCTCAAATGTCTACTCATTAGTTTTAGCATCCGTTGATGATTCATGCCTAAAAATATTATGATGATGTTTGCTAAATAACAATTTGCCAAATGATAGATCATTCCTTTTATAATTATTAGTTGGCATTTTCCCGTAAGAGATTTTCCTTCTCCCCATTTATTCCATTTTACTTATTTGTTTGTTTATAACAGTATGATTGAAGTTTTCCCTGCAGCTCTCAGTAGAAAACAGATCAGGTATTTCCCAGTAATTTCTGCCCACCAGCCTCCTTGTACATGGGAGACATAAAAAGAGTGAACACAAATCAGAGCACAAATAACAGGTGACAGAGGCCACAGTTAGGCATAAAATATTCCATCTGGGCTTAACATCCCATACTGACGTCTGGGACATGAAGGTTCTTCCTCCTTTAAGGAAAGGTATCTGAAACAAACCTACTCTTGTTCTATAATATTTCCATATAGATCTCTGCATAAACTCAGACCCAGGTCCGTTTTCAGAGAATTTAGGGAACTTAGGATACCACATGATACAAAGCACTGCTCTTCCTCTTGGTCATTCCCATTGATTCAGGTGATATACAGGCTGCTTAGGACATACAGAAGGCCAACCACTAGCTTAGTTTATTCAAGGTCATAAAGATCAATCCTGGCATAAAATTTGTATCTCAAGGCTTGAAGTTCAAGTGAAACTGCGTAAGTAAAACCACTCTTATTCTTTCCTTTGTATACTGCCTATAAATATCTAGTTTCTCAAATGCTCTTTGGGACAGTTTTAATACATTACAGTTCCTCTGATAGAAATCAATCAATCAGTCAATCAATCACTGGCATGCACATTTTGAATTTGCTTGAGGGTCCTGATTTTGCCATTTTAAAAATTTTATTTCAATAGGAGTTTAGAGTTGTACAGATTTATTTAAGAGATAGATTGGGATTTTGATAAGGATTGAGAAATTTATTAGAAGGAGAAATAGATGCTGAGAAAAGAGAAGCAATTTGGACTTAGGATAAAAGAAAAGAGGTTTAAAAAGATTTAAATGACAAAAGCTGCTTTCTTGAAATGGAACTCCTCCCCTCTGGACTTGCCTTCATTCCATCTCCCCACTCAAAATCAAACCATTTGCTTCAGAGTGGTAGTCTGACTCCTCAGGAAAGACCTCCTCCGCTGTAGCAGGGGTTAGAGCCAGGGGCATGTTAAGCAAGAGTCCTCCAGA